ACTGCTTGCTTAGTGTTCTGGCTAACACTCTTGCTCTGTTTAACCCAATTTCTTTAAGCAGTCACAGGAATTCACATTCACAGAAGAGGGAGGACTGTAAACACACTGTAAACTCACAAATGGGACCCGAAAAGCAACTTGTGTGAAAGGAATGAGACTCTGCAGAGAACAAAACCTGTGCGGAAGGAAGCTAACCATGAAATATTTAGTTTTACATTTGTCTCTTAGAGCCAGTTCAGTAAAACTCAGTGTAAACATCATCCATTTTGTAGCCAGTGAGCAGAAGCGAGAAGCAGCCAGGTTTGCTCACCCCATGCCTGCCACATGCACCATGGGGCTCAGTGCTTACCTTGGGGGTCCCCAGGCAAGAGGAACAAAATCCATTCCAATATTTGTCTGGGAAAGAGACAACTTGCTACAGAGCTCTGAGGCTCGGGCAGAACTCTAGGAAGGTATACAATTTATTTACCATGTGCAAGCAAGCCCTGCAAGAGACACTTGTTATGAATTACTATGCTCTCCCAAGGGATAGTTCTGTTGATAACTTGAAGAATGTATTAAATGGATATCAGATTAAAACAATCTGCTTCTGCAAGCTCCAAAACACAAAGACCATTACTGTCACATACAGAAATAAATCCAGAATGTTGGAAAACTGAAAAACACAACCCAAACAATTGCCCCCGTCTTAGCCTTGGTTATCAGCTTCTTTTTTTAGGGTGGAGGAAAGAAGTCTCTAGATTGTTCACTTAAACATAATGCAATCAGCTAAACAATGTTGAAGAAGCGGCACTAAGCTTTGTCTATTCATTCACACCATTTTGTTATCTTTCCTGTTTATCTTTTAGAGGCACACACAGGACCACAATGAAGGTTAGTCTTTACAATATGACAAATCTACTGGTTTCCTATTTTAGAAGGTAAACAAGGCTTTTTGTGAAACTGAAATGCAGATAAAAGAGCTGTGTAACGTTGAGTGCAACATTAGATTGAACATGAGATTCCTGGACGTGGTGGGGCATCCCCTCGGTGCAGATCTGTTGGCCAAGTGCAAACACAGATAAATTGCAGTTCAAACCACCAGCTTTGTCAAATCATTCATTTTGCATCATTCTTGCAGTGCACGACAATTCTGCAGCTGCAAACTATGTACAGAGTAAAATTAATTAACAGGGAGTATGAAATGAGCAATTGAACATAAATTGTGAGATTAAGTATTGGCCACAGATCTGCTTTATTTGTTGCTTTTTACCTTAAGTGAAAGTAAGATTTTACAGTTAAGCTTTTTCTAACATCTTATAAAAGTGGATTTTGAAATGTATTTACCCAGCAAAGAATTAAAAGTGGGGAACTGTTTATCAGGAAAGGTATCACCAAGCAGAACAGACAACAGTTAAAAGTTTATCTGGATCTCGAGCACCACCTATAGATGACACAAAACACTTCACGCTCATGAAACCTTGCATGCAGATTTCATATATACCAACGAGTATATGAAAATTATTTTTTTTCTTCCCAGTTGCCAAATTGTAGTACATTTGCACTTACACGTTTTTAGGCTTGGTACAATTTCCTATAAGTGAAAGCCTGCCTACTGAACCCAGCAGCATCAGCAGTTTTAAGTTTAACTACATCCAAACTTCTGTCTTAATGTAAGACTACCACCCCTTAGCAGTAATGCAGAGCCACCAGCTCTCAACTCAGAGCAGCACATGTCCACCAGCTCCTATCTTTCTTGTCCAGCTGAAGCACTTGGAAAGCTCCATGTCTCTGAGATGCAAGCCTCTCAGTAGGGATACTTAAACTCTCTTACCCATGTGGCTTGTAGAAATTAGAACATAATTACCCTTGAGATCACCAGCCTTCATAAAATCAGCCAGCCAGAAATATTGGGAAAACGACGTGAGCAAGCTGAGACAGAGGCACACTTACCAGTGACAAAACCAAGTGGAGGGCAGATCGATTTAGATTCCTTTGTCTGAGGAAAGTATCTAAGTATTAAAACTTAGATCAGCAGTGGACTAGTTAATCCTATGCAAAGACCTAGGACAGGTTTTGAAAGCTGAGAACTGAACTGTTATGACCATTTGAGTTGCTCAGTATTATCATTTAGCAAAAAAGCTGAAACTATCCACCTGACCCATTTGTTTGATCTTGGTTGTAGTTTACCATCTACTTTGCCATTCTAGTTTAACTGTTGGTGGAACAGTCCTAGACCACTGAGATGACCTGAAGGAGTCCCCTCCCTCTGCAGGTCACATAAACTTGAACTTCCCCTCTCCTGCAGCTCAGCTGTGGGTCACAAGTGCCACAGCTTGGGCAGCTCAGCCCCACCAGGAACTTGTGCTTCTGGGGAAGCATCTCCTCTGCTGCAATGTGAGTGCTGCAGCTGGTCTTAGAACCACTGTAAGCTGGGTGAAAAATGGGTATTTATTGTTACAGGACTGAGTTTCCCATTTTTCACTGATATTTATGGTAACTATTGGCCAAGTGCACAGAAACACTGTACACAGCCTGACGAGTTAGGTAATGCACATATGTACACACATATTTGAAGATGGGTTAATACTGAAGAATTGCTACCATGACATGCATTTTAATTCAAAGGTAATGAAGTGTTTGATCTGTGCTGCTCCAGTGATCATTTACTACCTGGATATTAGGGACCACATATAACAGGATCAAGCACTAACCTGTGATGCCTTTTATCTTCCAAGTGCTTTATAAGTAGTCTCAAAGTAGTTGAAATGCAATGACTGGGTCTGTGCTATAGGCACAAAAATGAAACATGGCTGGAGAGCCACAAAACAGTGATGCCAGTTTTAAAATTCAGAGTATCTGGGCTTTCAATTTATTGTTCTCAATGAATGTCTGCAGTCACCTAATGTAGTAGGAACCCTCCCACTTACTTCTAATTTGTATAAAAATAGGTGTGCTTGTTGACTTGAAACTGGGTCTTGTCAGCTCCTTAAATCACCTATCTGTAGGGAAGACATAATTAACAGGATACAAACTTCTATCACCAGAAAAGTGCAGGAAATAATAAACCCTGAAATACAACTGCTGGTGAACTCAGAACTTTTGCTTCATATTTCAATGCAGCATGGGGCTAGGAAACAAGTCTTTAATAACGCCTTTTTAATTAATCATTTATGAAGTTTCTGCCTCTCACTGGAGCATAGTCTTTTCTGATATCCACAAGTGTCAGGCACACTGTCAGACAGTTCAGATCAAACCCTAGATTTTAAAACAAAACCAAACTCCAAAACCAACATAACTTCCAAATAAAGGAACATTAAGAATCTAAGATTTGGAAGGCAGAAGAGATGGATCTTCAAAAACACTATTTCCCATAGATAATGACAGTGAAACTGGAGCATTCAAGTATAAACCACCCTTATTTCAACAAAAAACAAAGGTCACATTTTCAAGAACCACCTGTATGACTGTACTTGTGAGTTATGATTGCATTTTCCTACTTGCCATTATACAGCAGGCAGCATTACACTGTACATATAGTACGTACCAGACAGAGGGAAGAAGCAGGGAGCACCCCACCTACACAAAATCAAGACTGATCAAGCTAAAGATTTCAAACATGAGGACTATTCAGAAAGTGGCCCTAATGAGATAATCTTTATATGTTTTCCAAGCATGTTTCTAGCACATAAAGCAACCATTCAATGTCTCCCACTAGCAAACGCTGTGGAATTTAACTTGACTTTGATTCTCTAAGAGGGAATCTCAGAGCTGGTTTTGGTAACAGTCTCTTTTCAGTCTTCATGTATGTTAACAATTGTCCTTGGAATGCTGTCTGGCTGTTAAATGATCTCTGGTTTTTGCAGATCCAGGCACCTACAGAGCCATCTATTTTCTCAAGTTGAGTGTCTGTTCTCCAGACTAGAGCGTTTGGTAGTGAAGATACATTAACTACCACTACAGGAATGCTCTGCAGGTAGGACTATAATATTGCATAGTTCAAAATACAGCCTAGATTTCATTCATTATAGAAACGTGCATCATATAATGATGAATTACTAACTCACTGTGATCCAATCTGAATTTATGCTAGAGTTTCAGACCTTCAATTAGAATCTATTAATTTTTTCATTTAGATTTTCCTTCTTCAAACTTTTCCTTCCTCCTCTTCAACTTGAAAAGAGCAGAGCCAAAACATAATGCACTTTTACTATCCATGCAACTACAAACAGGCAGCACCAAAATAAAAACAAAGTGTAAGAAGTGTTTGTAAAAAATATATTTGCAATTGTTTTGCTCTTGAAAACACAGGTGCCTCTGACAAAGATCACTGTGCCACACACATGATTTGCAATAATGTTCTTACTAACAAAGTCAGTTGTTACTGATGGACAGACAAGATTCTTTTGTTTTCTAAAAATGGTCACCTGGTCTCCTGCATTAACATTTCCTGATTCAGTGCCAGGTACTAGCAACTTCTACATATAGTAAGGAACAGCCCCCTTAATTTTTTCTGAGGCTGCATTAGACCCAGTAGACGACATTTCTTACAGATCAACAATCAGCCAGGTACACTTAATGCATACATAGCATGTCATTGAAACAGACTTCACTTAAAAATAAACTTCAGAATGGTGTGGACTATCACCTTTTTGTGTGTGCATGAAAGAATGAGTCCACTATGAAGGTAATTTATCGTAAGGTGAGGGAGGCTTTCTTACTTTAACCAGCACAACACAAGAATCATTCTGGGCATCTTTCTGCTTGGAGAAATTCTCACCAGTTGCTTCACTGCTCAGATTTTACAAAGAACACAGCCTCCGACTTCAGAGGCACATAAATATACACATCTTCTTTTTCACATACAAGATGTATGTTTCTCTTCACAGAAAGTAAAACGGGCAGGTGGAAGGTATTTGGCTTTGTAGGACATATCCTGCATTGACATCTATCCTATGCATTTCTGCTGTATTCAGCACTGCCTCCGAGACTGAAATTTGTGTAGTAATAGTACTTTGTGACTAATCTGGTATGGAGTCTGCTGGACACAGCAAAGCTGTATGGGCTCCACTCTGAATGATAGAATAGGTCTGCTTTGGGGCTTCTGTGTGAGAGGATGAAGAAAAGATAGGAGGAGGGGGAGCTGAAGTGGACACTGTTATACTCTGACCTCCATCGCTAACCACAGTCACTTCTGTTGCTCCTTCTTGTATCAAAGCATTAAGGCCTTCTAAGTCAGAGCAGCTGATTCCAGAGCTGGTGATGAAAGCTTGGTTTGCTGAAGCCTCTAGCAGGAATCAGAGTTTGATGTAAAGCACTTCCATCGCTTTGGTCATGGGCTGTGAGAAGAACTGCTGGTTGTGCCACAGGCCCAGCTTCACTTTGAGATATAGGAGGTGGAGGTGGTGCCAACAAACTGACTTGGCCCAAAAGCTGCAAGCGGCTGTTGGCTGAGAGGTCTTCCTGAGTCTGGCCAACTAATGTAGGAGGCACAACATTCACTGATGCAGCCTGAACGATACTGTTAGTCTGAGGGACCTGGTGTCCCACAATGATCTTAACCCTTCCCTCGCTGTATGGAGAAACCTGAGCGGCCTGAAGTGGAACCTGGAGATGACTTACAGTAATTGGGGCGCTGGTCTGTCGACTAGGATCCATCTGGAGCTGTAGAACAGCTAGTTCATTATTTTTAGGTCCATTATACATACTGTGCTGCTTCTTATGACTCCGAAGAGAATCTTCTCGGACAAAGGAAGCATCGCAGAGGTCACACTTAAATGCTTTCTTGGCATCCAATTTGGCAACTTGCCTGGATCCACCTTGCTTTGGCCTATCTCCGTCCTTCTTCTCCACAGTTTGCTTCTTGGTCTTGACTTTGTCACCATGAGCTTTCCTCACATGAGTTGTCAGGTTGCTCCGCTGCTTGGTATCAAAGCTGCAGAATTCACATTTGAAAGGACGATCTTTGCAGTGAATTCGCTCGTGCACTTTCAGAGCTGCCTTGTTGGAGCAAGAGTAGTTGCACTCTGAGCACTTCACTGGTTGTTCAGGCTGATGAGTTCTTATGTGGTGCCGAAGGCTCGTTTTGTTTCCACACTGAAATTCACACTCTGGACACTTGAGAGTATTTTCCATGCTGTGCTTGATACGAATGTGCGATTTCAAGTTTCCTTTCATGGCACACCGGACCTCGCAGAACTCACACTTGTAAGGTTTCTCTCCAGAATGCACACGCATGTGCCTCTTCAAGTCTGAGTTGATTTTAAATTTAGCAGGACACATCTGACACTGGAAAGGAGCATCTCCTGCCAACAAAAACCCCAGTTCAAATTACAGATGAGACACCAAGATCCATTGGAGACACCAATGCTGTAATGAATTATGTACAGCTGATGTATTCTAAATACCTGCAAACTCCCAACACATTTTTAAGATGTAGAGAACTTTAATTACATGGTATTTATTACCTGGTCTGACATAGTTGTGTGCAAACTCTCCACAAGCATATCTGCCAGCATCTGTTGCTTTTTCATGTCTGCATCTTTGATATTCACCATTTTTAGTGTATTTTGTGTGTAACACTGTTCAGCATGCTCCAGGAAGTGAGTGAAGTTCCTCATTTGCCCCTCTTTAGCAATTGTGTACCCCATCTAGTGTTTAAAATTAATAAAAAACCACTGTAGCAGCTGCTGTATTTTTGAAGTCTAAGAAAACAACATAAACACATCCATGTCTTGGGTTTACTACAGGATCTACAGGGAGGCTTGTAGGTTAACTTTAAGCCTAGGTTAATGGTAGGCTACTACAGAAACAGATGCTTAGAGGGCAGCAGCCTTACTGCTCAGCCATATATTCCATACTGCCTTTCTTGTACATTTGTACATTTCTTGTACTCACATGGTGAATTAGATTAGGTGACAAGAAAAACTGATTAGTTTTTTTTTAGCCTGTTTCACATGGTGCGACATGAATACTATTGCTGGCACAGGAAGGCAGTGGAAACTCTTGCGAGAACATAGAGAGATGTAGCTACAGAAGTCCATACCTCGGTCAGTGTCAGGTGACTGCACAATCAGAGCATCACTATTAAAATAAACCAACAAAAACCAACAACCAAAAAAGGGGATCACAGCAGCGACATAAATGCAACTGGCAAAGACAAATGCGAGACTAATCAAACATGCATGCAAATACATGACTCTAGGGAAATCTGTATACACAGAGAAGTAACATTAAGCTTTTGTTTTTCTGGCATTACAGCAACCAAGAAAGAGATGTTTGCACCATGTATCATATCCAATAACATGCCACAGGTCACTTCAAGAAAATCAATCTCGTATCAGTTTGGATTCATGCAAACAAGTACAGAAAATAGTCATAAGTGCCTTTTTTCATTTTCCCTGAGAGCAATGCTGATCCAGAAACTGAACAATAGTAGTTGAAAGTTAGGTCAAATTCTGAACAGATGAAGCATGAAAAATGAACACACTTATCTGCAAGAATCTATAAGTCTATTTATAAAGTCTATTTACGTCAGACTAACTACACGAACAATCATTGGAATTGTCAGGATCTAAACCACTATTCTGCATTTTTTCTATTTGCAAGCTTGTGTCACAACACGCAGGACCAAATGAAGCTGTAGCTCTGTTAGTCCATAATTAATTCCAGGATAAAGACCTGGTAACTCTGTTCTGAAGTCATTAAAAAAAATCCAAAGCAAACCTACAAACCCAACTAACTGTTCAGTTTTCTTCTTTAACCTAAATATGTAGTTCTCTAAAATACCTAAGCATGAAATCTTTAACTAGGTATTATTTTGAAAAAGTCAAAGAATTGTGTTATTAGTTTCTAAGACACCCTTGATGAGAGAAGGAAAATGAGAGTGTACTTACTTCAGCTTGCATTTATCTTCTTTAATAATCAAACTGCAAATGCCTGATTTATTTTACAAGTTAATATTTTATAGAGTTTGTGATAGCTGTATAATTTTGCATAATGTGCTTATCCAGCTACATATGTCATTGGTTTAGCTGCGTATTTTTCAAATCAAGTTGTGGCCTACTGTGCTAATCCATGTATCTGTTCAATAATTGAGATGCATGGTGTATTATCTATATTAAACAGATTTTATTAATGAAGATGCACTGTTTGTTCATCTCATTTATTTTATAGTTTCAGCTGCACACTCAGCTACTGACTTTTTATCTACTTTGCTGATGAAGGCACAGTATGTATTTCAATGACTTCATTCTCACATACAGGGTAGCACAATATATGAAAAAGAATTAGTAATTTTACTGAATATAGCAAAGAATGTTGGTTCCGTTTATTTGAAGAGTGGTCTATAACTTTACATTTATTTCGTTTCATTTCTGCCCATACATAATTGACACTGACAGAATACATATTACAAGGGAAGAGTGATCCTGGAATTACTAGTTGTAAGAATGGTTTTACTCAGACTAACAGGAAACTGATCTTTAGATGAGTAGTTCAACAAGTAATGATGATGATCTCATTCTGAGCAATGCAGGCCACACTCACCTTCTAGAGTATGACTAACTTTAATTCCAGCCAGCAATATACTCTACATACCAGTCTCACTTTTCTCCTAAAACTGGCTGTGTGCGTAACAGCTTTGTAACCTAACAAGGATGAAATGATTACTTTCAGAATTCCTGTGCTGCCTTTCAGCGAATCAAGAAAGTCCTTTTACAGAAAAAGGATTTGTTTTGGAGAAATGGAAGAGGCAACAAAAGGCTTGAATTTTAGCATAACTCAATGGCTTATGATACAACAGACTGATCTACCAAAAAGAAAGAAGGTAGCCTAAACCGCTTCCCAACTATTGCAATATTTAATGCCACAAAAATCTAACTTGACTGGAAATACGAAAGAATCATCATCATTCACAGGTTCTCCCACAGCCAAATTCAGAGCACACTGGGCCATGTACATAAATGTACAAGTACGCATGTTCTTATATGACATGGGGAAAATGCAGTACCATATTCTCTGACTAGTGTGCTTGCTAACAGATAACTTCTTGTAACAACCCATACCATCTTGACTGACCACTGCACCTTCTTACAGAGCAACAGACAGAGGGAAACTTGTAAAATAACTGACAGTCCTACCTATTCCATCACAGAGACTTGTGAAGTATAAAATATTCTTTTCTGCTACAGACAGATTGGTTTAACCTTCCCCTCCTTCACAATGCACAAGGGATTTCTTTCTTTTATCTACTCAAAATAAATTCCATCTTGCACACATCTGAACTAATGTTGTTTAGTACTTGCATTTGGAATCAGATGTAGGATAGGTTCAAAGCTAATCTAGTAATCACTGACCCACAGCCACCTTGCAGCTAAAATTCACCAAACTAATCAAATGAATAATAGACAAAACAAAAACTAATCTGGTACCCTGGATTAGGTGAAAAACAACATAGAGAGACAAGTGTTCGAAGACAACTATAAAGCATATCTTTACAGCAAATTTCTTCTAGGAACAATCTATAAAACAGAAATCTGACTAAAATGAAACTTAAGGCAAATAATGCATATATAAAATGATACAATGTTTATAGGGCTGAAGGCTAAAGCTTCCTAGCCACAGAGCAAAAATTACACGGGAAGAATATAGTTCTGGCTGCTCATATGACACTGTTAACATCTATCAGCCTACAAATGGCAGGTACCACAAAGAAAGGTCAAAAAATGATGTAACTTAAGCTGCTAATCACTTTCCAATTTACTGATGCAAGAAAACTTAAAGTATGCAGCTAAGGTTTGCACTGATATAACTAGTTTAATTATAAGGTAATTTCAGTGTTTCTAATATAGTGGTCCTGAATTGAGAGATGCAGATAGGAACCTAGGTTGTCTTATTTCTTAATCAATCAATCAATTAGATCCTTCAGTTCTACTGGTTTGAGAACACCTAACAGATAGTTTCAAAATCATTTTAGAAGAAAATCTACCAAGAATCAGATCTGTCTTTTGACTGCTTCCATGTATTCTTAATAGAGCTGTATTGCCCTACTAAATTCTATGCCCAGGAAATTCACAGAAGCTGGATGCCTACGTGCTTCTGAGTATTCAAACAGGCCCTTTCTGGCATCCTGACACCTGCGTACCTTTGAAAAACCTTTCCTATGACCTTCAAACCTTTACAGATCTGAAATTTAGTATAAACTTACCTGTGTGGGATCTGAGATGTACAGTTAGCTGGCTAGAGTTGCGGCTTGCGTAAGGACAGATCTGGCATTTAAAAGGACGCTCATTCGAGTGAATGCGCTGGTGCTTGTTGAGGCTGCTGCTGTCGGCGGCTGCATAGTCACAGTGTTTACATTTGTAAGGCTTCACCCCAGTATGAGAACGCATGTGCATCTTCAGCTTATCTTTACGACTAAAACACTTGTTACAAACTTCACATTTATGGGGCTTGTCTCCTGAAACAAACAGAAAAGCATCAACACATCAAGAATTTTTGCACCATAAGGATGTTGCTGCAACTAAAAAAAGCACACACTGAACACTTAACAGAACTGGGACTAATTTTCAAAAGCTGGACACTAGGTTTCATCAGCCTATTAGCCAAGAACTCTTTTATGCTCCAGAAAGGTGCATGCACAAGTGCAACATATTTAGAAGACCCTTTGGAACTTTTTCCCTTTACAACTCTGAAATTGCGGTTTAGAGGGAAGGGAGGGAAAATGTTGGAATCACTGTTCCACATTAAAAAGAAACTAGCTTTATGCACTACCACTGCACTGCACCCTGATAAACACATAGTCTGCGCCTCAGAAATTTAACTATGCCTTAAATCAGTGCACAGTGTTCATAAGCAGTACTGCCCATAGTGGGATTACGTCTTACCCACAAAGCGCAATTCCCCAAGCACAGAGAACTACAATACAAGTACAGACATACGTGCACATTGTATCTATAGAGACTTTATTTTGTGGGAAAATACCTTTTGCCGAACGTCAAACCAAAAATAAAATACAACTATAAAAACCTGTGTGTGTTCGTAGATGACGTTCCATATCCTTCATACCATAGGAAGTCTTGAACTGGCAACCTGACAACGGTAAGATTAAGATCATGAAATTCAAGGAAAATGTAAGAAAATAATAAAAAAATACTACCATATCATGGGCATTCTGTTTATTTTCAAGAACACTGTTTTTTAAATTCAGTATTAACAGAAAACAAATTCCCCATCTTGTTTACTCACATCTACTTAAAATAGTGACCGGCTTACCTACGAACTTTAGTTTTCTAATGCTTCCCCTAGGAGGCAATTCACTCTCTACATTAGCATTTTCTGTAAGCTTTGAAACAAATTCTCTAGAATCTCTGCCTAGGATCTGAGATGCTCTTTACAGTACACAGGGGATGCTAGAGGTACTAATTAATTCCACATACGACTTCAAGTCAGTGCATTTGGGAACTTTGGTAACAGTTCACCATTCAGGATTCTGCCTAAGTGGAAAGTGCTACATTTTCAGAGTACAGAAATGAATGTTGAGCATTTGAAATGTGCCTTTCCAATGAAGGCAAGCTTGTGAAAGAGGCTGTAACTTCTGCTACCATTAACATGACTACGCACTTCATGGCTATCTCTACACACATTTTCTGCATATTGAATGGTTTTTACTAATTAAGGTCTCCATTACACAGGTTCAATCTATCTTTATAGAAATGCTAACTGACCAAAGACAAAACATATAATGCAAAATGCATGTATAATATTTCTCATGTACAACAATGGCAGTCAGCAAAAAGGTAGCAAGACTCTGCTCTTGCATTGCTATGGTGTGAGCATAGGCCAGTGTCTGCAGCAAACTCCCTGCAACACTGCCAGAGTACAGGACCAAAGCCTAAGGATATGGAGAATCAACAGCAAAACTACTACTGGTATCAATGGTAATACATCACACCTTCTGGACATTGTAACTGTTTAAAACAGGCAGAACTATTATGCGTATCAGTATATGAAACCTATCAATTTTAAAATGAGAAGGAAGAAAGTATAGTTCACATCTTACCTGGATAGCAGCAGTTTAGTTTCTTCTGTGTAAGTGAGGAAGTGGATTTTCTTGATCGTGCTTTTGGTGGTGTAGAGACGATAGCAGCAGTTGGAGGCTCACTGCTCTCACTGGGCAGGTAGGTTTGATAGCCATGCTCAAAAACAAACTCTGGTGCAGAAACTAAACACATAAAACAGTTCAATTTGAGAACATTAACTTCCCCAATCAGAAAAACCTAACTATTTTCTAGTTTCATTAATTACTTCTCTGCTTTTTTCCAACAAAATTCCTGTTCCTGGCTTCCTATTCACCTGAGTGATGGGGAAAGGAGAATGGCTTTTCTCTCCCTTGCTATCCTGCAATCAGTGAAAATTCTGTCAAGATGAGCCATGCTGAACTTAGTACAAGCCTACGTAGGCCCACTTGTCCCGCTGAATCCTATCTCACTGCACTGTTGTTTCTTCAGCACTTCATTATTTTTCTGATGCTTGTCCAGGTCTTAACATTAATAAAGGTATGTTTGTCTTTTAACACTAGCTGTGCTACAGCCCAAAGGGGAGAAATCTCAAATTATTTATATGGCAAATGTTGTCAAAGAGGCGTCGTATAAATAATCTCTTTTTTTAAAATTGTTAAAAAAGTTCAGTGTCTTTCAACTATACTGTTTTCAGCTGTTACTCACAAGAATAACAGATGAAACAATCTCAGCCAAAGTAGCAGCTTTTAAATCAATCAGACAAGGCTATACCCCAAAAGGGCAGAAAGATGTAACTGCCCTCATTTTAAAGATGAGTAAATATGAAGCAGAAAAATGACTCATCCAAAACCCACACTGAGTTCAGGGATTATAATACAAAAATTCCTGGAAGTGAGCCCCGAATTCAGTCTGTTTCACTGCTCTTCCAGATTCTCTCCCTAATCTGTCTATCCAAATTATACTCAAATAATTTGGATTCTAGTAAGGTCCTAGGCCAACATAAAATAAAATAAAACTCTATATAGAAGGGCAAACCTTCACACATGGAACAAAACTCTAGTTTTATTTAAATGTCTCCAGGATCAGGACCTCACTTGAGCCTTCGCATAAGCAGAAATTTTGAGTAGTATTTTCCCTGCCAATTAGTTGTGGAAGCAATGTTAGGGAATGCAGTGTTCTCACATAAAAAGGCCTGGATTGGCGCCTGACAACAATTCTGTGTCTGTTTTTCATCAAGCGCACTCTTAAAGAAATAAAATGCACAGTAATTTGATTATATTTCAGAAGTATTGACAATTTCAATTAGTTTGCACCACTTGGTTATGCACCACGTCAGATTTAACCAATTCTTTAAGTAAGTAAACTTGTATCTCAATTAGCAAATTAAGTAACTGTTGTCATACCAAAATCAAGGCAGCAGCACACCACTTATTTCATTCCTTTGCTTGCAGTTATGCAACGACTAATGTGAAAACTGTGATTTTAGCTTAGTGTGATGGGGGCACATAAGCAGAGGGCTGTATAATGCATGAATTGAGCATTTTCAAGCTCCTGGTCTGTAACACCACGGTACCTGTGATGGTTTGGGTCTCCGAAGCGATGGTCCTGGTTGTGGTCTGTGTCTGTGTTGATGGCACCGTTTCTTCCGACACAAACTGGACCGTGCTTGTGGCCCCGGCTGTCGCACTAGTGAGCTGGCAACCGCTTTGCTTGTGCCCAACGAAGGCATCGAGGTTGTTGAACTGCTGTTTGCAGATGCCACAGATGTGAATGTCAGGTGTGAGCTCCACCAAGACAGTGGTGCCACCGGGGACTGCGGGAGCAAGAGCATTGTCAGAAGCTTGTCCAGAGAAACCGGGAATGCGTAAAACCACTCAAACTGACATACAGACATACACCGGCCGAGTGCCTCGGCAGCGAGGCAGCCCCTCTGGGCCCAGGCTGGCTTGGCCTGCTTAGGCCTGTGGGGGCCCCTTGGGCGCTACGTGACCCCCCGGCCGGGGCTGTCAGGAAAACGGGCCACCGGACACGTATCCACCGAGACCTCAGGGTCCCGCGGGG